TATGTAGCAAGTATATAAAACAAATACGTATTCATGTGTCGATGTCAATTTAATCCCATGCCAATCATGCGGGATACAGATACATGACAAAAATTACCACCACACGAGCGAATCAGCCATACATTTTCGAGAAAGGTGCAGAAATATTGTCACTTCTATCCCATTCGTTGAAGCATTCTCTGTATATTCGGTATATATTGGTGTAAGCGTGGCGAAATGGGAAAATTTGTTTCAACATTGCCAGAATGTTAAATGCAAGTGAACGTTGCAGATTTGTGAAAACAAATTACAGTATAATAATATATAATATCGTTGTATAATTATACTTGTCAATTGCGATGTTTGCCACATAATCTTTCAAATTGCGTTTTTTCAGCTATTTTTTTACAATGATGAACATCATAGCTGAGAAATTTACAAACATGTTCTTGTGCATTGTTTTCGCGCTCACACATGCTGGTAATCTCTGCCCGCCGAGCACGAAGTAAACGTAAATCGTTGTCAAAGTCGCCGTCATAGTTATCTATCTTACGCCACAGTGTCATGTTAAAGTGTTTATATACAGTGACATCTTCGACTAATATTTCGGAAAGCACTCTTTCCATTGGCCTCGTCATAGGTTGCCGTTCTCTTGTGGATACTTTGTTTGAATGATATATGACGTCATCAAATGTCCAACACATCATCTGTTTCAATAACACGAGAGATTCATCCATATACTCTGTTATCATGACTAAATCAAATTCTTTATCTAACTCCATCAACCCGTGATCAGAAGTCATACTAAACCAGCGTTGAACCCTGGAGTAGATTACACTATCGAGAAATTGATGATACGTACTGCTCGTTAGAAAAGTTTCCAGGGGGTTGGTGTAGTTTTGCAGTGCAAACTTTTTGTCAAAGTGTTCGAAATAAAACCGTGATTCCAACTGTTTAAATGGTAAACGAATGATAGTTACAAATTTAGCGTTTGGTATTAAACCTTTCAGCAATTTGTGGTTGTACTTGTGCATGTGATGCGCAATATAATTGTATCCTGCAAAGGTTTTGCTACATGGATATTCTGTAACGTGTACTTTATACTGAGTGATATGTAACATCATACTTGTCAGTGGGTCTGGAAGTGCAGCTGTCAGATTATGCTTAATACCGTATCTGTAAAGCAAGGCACCAACTGTGCTGCCTCCTGTTTTAGAAGTTTTAACGAACACAAAATCGTTGTAGGGAGTACAATTCTTCCAGGATGGGTTCGGATAGTAGTCTTGTTCTAGCTTTGCATTCAGTGTATCATGTTTCATCAACCTGTTGACGTAA